TGTTGACAATTTTAACATAAAATGACACTTCACTTCTCGTTTTACTGAACTGCAAAGCTGCGCAGTTCTCACGCAAGGTTCGAACCCTGATTTTAGAGTTATAAGCCCTTTAGTTTACCGTTGATACTTCGGTGGGAGTCAACAAAGGACAAATGTGGCCCAGTTATGTATATACAATACAGTGATATCAATTAACTATTGGTTACACCATGCTTTTAGGAGGATATCATTCTGAAGGATATGCATAATATGTCAAATATTCCAAACATTTGTGAACCCAAACAGTAGATAACATTTTTACTTTACAATAACAAAAAGCTAAATAACTTAGGGCTTAGTGAAGAATTCAATTTTCATGTATTGAATCTTATATGTTGTGCTTAAACCTGAATATATATTAGGTTAAGGTAGGGACTGCTCTTGGAAAACGAAAATTACTTTCTATTTTAGAGGAAGTTTCTCTGTTTTTGTTTTTGTTTTTTGTGTGTGTTTTTTCATAGATGACTATTTTTGTTCAAAGTTTACTCTGATGAACTAATTTTAAAACCAACTCCAGATTATATCAAGGAAAGAACAGTACAACAATACTACATTTTAGTAAACAATATTAACTTATAGAAGCAAGGCCTAGCTCTTTGAACGTGATGAATAACTTTGTTTTTAGTCTTATGTATTTGTTTCCTCGTGAAACGCTACATCATGGACTATCTACAACTCTGTCCGCCGCAGAGACACGAGTCCCGGATCTTAGCATTGTAAATCTGTAAACCGAACTATTTAAAACAAAAAAATTAAAAGTGTCGCTTCCGATAGTCGTCAGAATAAAACAAATATCATATTAAACACGTGTTTTAGGCATTGTTAACTATCAATTCATTGTTTGTTTGCTCTAGACAAGAGTAGTTCGTCAGAAAAGAAAATTCAGACAACATTCTACCTTGGAGATGACTAGAAAAAATTATAAGTATTTTTTCTATCATGATCAACTAAATGTTTTCCTAGAAACATATTAAGCACTTGTATTGATTTATTTGGGAACTTTTACCATTAAATACAGTAAGGTACACAGATAAAATAAACAACAAAATAACCAAATAATTAATTTTCGAAAACGAGAGCGTTTAGTATTTTAATTTCACTTCGTCTTAGAAACCATTAATCTCAACTTTTGTTATTGATTTATAAGCTTCTGACCTTAGTTCTTCAGTTTTAAAAAAATGACAGTTTAATCCCGATAATTTGACACTATTTATCTACTCAGTTGCTACATAGATCTATCTGTTCGGTACAATTAAACTGTGTAATACTTTGTCCCAGATTTTCCTGACCAATGAAATTAATAGTTTTTTTATTTGATTTGACTGGTTTTAGCCAATGAAAATAGTTTTCTTATTTGATTTGACTGGTTTTAGTCAATGAAAATAGTTTTCTTATTTGATTTGACTGGTTTTTAGCGTTGCAACAACAAAAAATAAATAAACTTCGAAAAAGGAAATGATTAATGCTACTAATCCGGAAAGGAACAAAAACAGGGAAATATTTAGCGTCGCTATGATTTGTGCTAAGTGGGAATTTAAATTTTAAATAAAGAGCTTACAGATCTATCTGTTTAAAATTATGACATTTTTTTTATACTAAAATTTTTGTGTTATCTTACGTCACATCACATTTGTAACAGTTGCTTCATGTGTCTTTCGTACCTTTTCCAAAATTTGGTTGAAATTAAATTCGATTTGCTAAACACGTGTTCTGCAGTGCTTTATACGAGCTTACATTCTATATGATGTAATAAAAACGAATTATTATCTAACAAAGGTATCTGGTGTTTTGCGTTATCACGATCGTATATATATATATATAATTAATTCTCCAATATTTTATGGTAACGATTTTTAGTTGTCGAACTTAGAAAGTTTTTTTTTGGAGACTTTATCGATCACTAGCAATATAATTAATGATAATTAGATTTTTCTTTCAAAAATGCTGGAAATGAGTATAATAATTTAGCAGCAACAAGACAAGTTATATTTCGTTAATTCTTTTTCCAGTTTCACTAATTCTTGGAGTCAATTCGATCTAATTAAATGCAAGCAAGACGCTATAAACACATTGAAAAAATGAAATGAGAATGTAAACAAGACTAAAATCTGAAAACTGCGAATTTTATGTTGTTTCTCCAGTAATGGAACAACTACGAAATGTTCTAATGAAGCTAGAAACAACACCAGTAGAACGGTAACAACTTGAAGCCTACTGAGACCATTTTACAACGCTTACAATACACGTTTATTCAACAGTATATAATAATTGTTGTGTCTCAATTTATTTATTTTTTCTTTCACTGGATGCCATATTTGGTCTCGAAATATGATGCATTTGACGCCGAAGAGTTCAGACTTGCCATAGTTTGGAGACCACCACTAGGTGGCGATATTGTTGAGGGCAATGGCATAATGGTGTAATTGGGCTTCCTGTCGCTTGGCCCTCCTTGAAACCTGACACCTATAAAAATGAACAAGATTTAATTATATACACTTACAAAATTATAGCAGAAAATTTTTCGTTTTTAATTTTTCTCAAATATAAAACAAAAAACAACCTTCTTACAAACGATTTCTAAAACTGTGTTGTTAAACAACCTTCTTGCACACGATTTCTAAAACTGTGTTGTTAAACAACCTTCTTACAAATGATTTCTAAAACTGTTGTTAAACAGCCTTCTTGCAAATGATTTCTAAAACTGTGTTGTTAAACAACCTTCTTGCACACGATTTCTAAAACTGTGGTGTTAAACAACCTTCTTACAAATGATTTCTAAAACTGTGTTGTTAAACAACCTTCTTACAAATGATTTCTAAAACTGTTGTTAAACAGCCTTCTTGCAAATGATTTCTAAAACTGTGTT